AAATTTGCACGTTTATTCTTTCATTAAGAATGATAACATTTATAGTCCAAATAAATTGTATTATTAGCAGGGACAGAAAATAATCATTATTTTTTAAATTTTAACCAAAAAAATTAACAAGTTGTAATCGTCGTAAAACAGTTTTTACTATACTCACGTATTTGTGTTCGTACGCCCTACTGTAATTTACAATGATTTTTATTGTTCGAGTTAAACAATAAAGATTTAAAATAATAATTAATATTTGAGTTTTAATTTTTCGCTCAAAGGTAATTATTGTTACTTGATTTTTATTTTTTCGATCAAAAATAATGATTATTTTACGACTTTTATTTTCCGCTCAAAGATAATAATTATTATTGAGTTTTATTTTTTCACTAATGAATAATGATCATTCAAAAAAATGCAAAAGTTATACCATCGAGATTTCCGTGGTATCCTTTTCAAAGGTAACGACACCCTAATAAAAGGAATAAGTCCCAAAATTTTCAGGTCCAAATTTCAGTAAGATGCGTCTTCCACAGACTGAATTCTATGTGTTTTGTAAGCGTGCAACGGTGACATTACTGCCTCAATGCAGCCCAATTTGTCGTTGGCAGAAGTAACGTACATATTATGCAGGTGACTATTATTTTGAATATGCATAAGATTTGCAAGTATTTCATTAAAATATGCTATATTAACGCCAAGCACAGCAATCGTATACTTAAAATCGCTATTGTAGCAGCGTGGTTTCCTTACAGTGCATAGCATGCCATTTGTTATACGCAAAATGGGACGACTTTCTATAAGCTCTCCTAGTTTTGTTTCCACAATTACTTCGTAGTAGTCAACGCGTCCCGAAGGCACTACACCATGATTCAATAATACAAGGTTCGATAAACTGACAGTTGTCTCTCTCGCACCGCTCCCTTAGCAGTGGCACCGTGTTGCTTCTTTGCAATTTTACATGGAAACAGTGTAGCTTTGGTGTGAAATAAAAGTATAAGCTTTTGTGCAATGTCTTTATTTGTATATGCATATGAAGCATATTTAACTGATGAAAACATATGCATTGGATGTTTACATCAGTCTCATAGTAGTCTTATTTAAATTTTGAGTCATTTTGCAGTTTTTATACGGCTAAATAGCATATAAATTACGTAATTCACGTAGATATATCAATATTACGTTCAACATTTCGTTTAAAATGCCAGATTTCCTGCAAATACATTAGAATTTACGAAAGGAATTTCACTACTAATTGCCTACTTTGCGTACTTTTCTACTACCATTTTCGAAACAAGGGATTGCATTCTTGCCCTTTCTCTGTCCTCCGTAAATGCAACCTTTTGTAAGGGAGTGTCAAACCGCAGCTGTCAATAATTATCTAACCTTGTATTATTGAATCATGGCACTACACGTTGTCGCCAATAAATTGTGATATCCTTCGAATCATCGATTTTTGTATGAGATGGACGCGAAGGAACTAAAATGAGATAAGTTTAATAAGTCGCTGAATGTTGTGAACACTATTTTAACGTACCGCCGATTAAAGTTTGTATGTGCACACAATTGCTAGTTAGTGAATGATCCACAGTATACGCTTTCACACAAATGGTGTAATTAGTAAAACTACTTAAGTTTACCAAAGTGTAGAATATATTCTCCTTGCGACCGCTTTTTCTGCTCCCGGACAAGTAATGCGAACCAATTGTATTATTACAATACAAAATACGACTTTCGCTGTTGTAACTAGTAACTAAGAGAAGTAATAATATAAAAAATCCAATAATGAATTAAGGCACTCTACATATCGCACATAATCTTCAAATGTGACACAACTCCATGCGAAAAAATATTCCGTAGCACATACTAATCATATGGACAAAGGAGACTTTATCTTAGGTTTTTTCAACAAATTATAACAAAAATTGTATCCAAAAATTTTGAGTCACTTTTGAAGACCGTGGGCTATACGTGTATGTAGATATATTTAGTTATATACGTTACTTTATATACGTTTTATACGTTATACGCAGTACGGCTCCGTTTTTGGGTTAAGGCCCAAAATTATTTCAATCAAGTTGGTAAATGTATCCTCTATCGGAAACTCATTTGGTGTATTGGCCGGGTGTTAAAGCAGAGAACGTTTATAAATGAAAAGGCGCATTTTCTGTGTGAACTAATTGCTGCCAGAAATTTTGGGGTGCAGTCGGCCAAATACACCACTCGTCGGCTGCCACCATACCAAAAATTTTTCCGTGTCACCACACTTCGGCAAATTTACCATAGTTCCACGCAAAAAATAAGAAGGAAACAGGTAAGAGGAACAGCAATATAATAAGCAAGGCAGAGGGGATGCTTGCGGAGGCGAGCGTGTAGCATAGTTTAAAGCAATATTAAAAATAAAAACGAATAACAAAAGAGAAACAGAAATCTAATAAGTACTAGGCAGAGGGGGTGCTTGCGGAGGCAGGCGCGTGCTTGTGTCGGATCAAGAAAGTTTTACCGAGAAAGTGCTAAGAAATAAACGATAAGTATTTAGAAAAAAAAATTAAAGTGTTTTAAAATTAAACAAAAAATTTTAATAATGTTATGAGCAGAGAAAAGCTCATGTTGTTTAATATGACGTCGAAACTCATCAATTGTGATCAGTCATATTTGACCAACTTTTATAGCAAGTATGATTTGTCAATACTGACCTAAGATCCCATCAAGCATGATTATTCATTTGTGACCAATGTTTATATCATTGATGATTCACATGTATACGATTTTTTCCATCAAATTTTGCACATTGCCCTTAATATTTTGATAGAAACTTTCATACAAAGCAATGACGAGTATTTCTGTCAGGATTGTCCGTCATTTTACCGGTTAAATGATTGTCACTGTTCTTGCAGGGTTGCGAATTTCGTGTAATTGTGTGTGCAGAAAACCACCACCGTTTGGCCAAATTTTATTAATTGATGAATATTTTGATGTTTAATCAAGAAATTTAATATTATCTATCAACGTTGAAGATAAATTAAATTAAATGATTATGATCATATGTTTAAATTAATATTTACTTGTGAATAATACATAGACATATATGTGCATATGTACAGGTAAACAAACTATGTACATACATAAATACATATATGTATGTACATATGCATACATGGACATAATGGATTAGTGTTCACGAGCAAGACATTCATTCATAAACGTAAAAACTGGCATTCACAAATTCGTGCGCACCTTGCACACTTACCCCGCTACAAACATGAGTCGTCCACAAGTTGATTTTCGTCGCGGCGATGACAAAATCTAAAAATCTAAAATTTTATCAACCACCGCGCCAATTGGAAAAGTGGCAACAGCGGTCAAAATCCCCCTTCCCTTTGCACACTTCTGTGATCTAAATAAAATATTTTTTCCACTTGTTACCGAAATCATGCATCTGCGCCGACAAGTGCGCAAAATCACTTCGCTTTCGTTTCCTTCTTCTTGTCTACGAGTTCTTCTTCTTCGATGGCGATTAAAATGCAAAAAATTCATTTCAACCACCAAATTATTCTTTATTTTATTTTAGAAATAAATTCATAAAAATATATTTATGAGAAGCGGTTTTTTCATGTCAGAAATATACTCGGAGGTTTTCCCAGGGGCCTAAAATGCAAAGCATCTCACCATTTGTGCTTTCTTCGACCAGGGTTTCGGAATTGTAGCTTTTATACGGTGCTAAAAGCTGATGCATCTCCATATAAAGAGGCCATTTAGAAGGTGCCCCACCCGATGGTCCGATTTCTTTCTTCTCCTTGAAACATCGTGTGATAAAAAAAATCTTATTTAAATAATGGAGTCAAGTCTCACCTATATTTCGGCGTCAGATTGTGCATTTTCGTTTTTATTTCGCTTGGAGTGCACATAACCCCAAGCTCCTGCAACTCCAAAGCCATCTTCTCCATGATGTGGCTGTTTTTGCGAACACATCTCAGCTCATCAATTTTAGTTCTCCAAACATCTATAAGGAGACTTTCACTTCCTTCTCCCCATAAATTTCTTTTTTTGTAAAATTTCTTTTCCATTTTTAGTTGTTTATTAAAAACAAAAACGTCCAAACAAAATGACATATGAGTTATGGGACAATACTTTTTTCGATTATTATCGATAAAATTAGAGCCGGCACAGATTTGTTCGTGATTTGGTTCTTGGTTTAAGATAAACTACGTACTTTCAACTTAATTTACTGAGAGACTTTACAAGGCGAAATTACTTAGTTTGTACTTAATTTATGCGTAAATTAAGATTGACCTCTAAATTACGCTAATGGGAACATAGTTTTACTGGCTACATGTACTATCGATTTTGCAAGTACGAATATCCAAAATTTTTTAATTTTCGTTGACATATCTACATTTACGTACCAAAGAATATATGTGCGTAAATGCTTTTTCGCTTGTATGCATAAAGAAAAATGCCATCAGATACCTATCAAAACATATCAAAAATTTTTCCAAAATTAAAAAGTCGATTTTATTAACATTTCTTTATTATATTAATATGTATATGTATTTAATAATAACAACTGAATTTGGCTTAATATTAAATTATATTAAAATATCAAATAAAATTTTAAAAGAAATAAATAAATAATAAATGTAAATATATACATACATACATATGTTTAAATAAATTATAATAAAATAGTTTTTATAAAAAGGTCCATTTTACATGACTTTAGACAATTGCGGAAAAAAGTCAAAAAAATGCTTTAGAAAATCTTATAAGCTTAGCTGAAATAGAAAAATTCATACATGTTTGCAAAAATCAATTTGCAATCAGCAAATCGATTTCACGCAAATATCATATTTTCGGCAAGCAAGCAAATGTACAAAAGCCCGCTCCTTTCCCCGTTTCCCCGCTTCTTCTGTACATTTGTCGTTCTGACTTCCATTTTTATTTTAGAGTTTGTTTTGATCCGACACAAGCACGCGCCTGCCTCTGCAAGCACCATCTCTGCCTAGTACTTATTAGATTTCTGTTTCTCTTTTGTTATTCGTTTTTATTTTTAATTTTGCTTTAAACTATGCTACACGCTCGCCTCCGCAAGCATCCCCTCTGCCTTGCTTATTATATTGCTGTTCCTCTTAACTGTTTCCTTCTTATTTTTTGCGTTGAACTATGGTAAATTTGCCGCAGTGTGGTGACACGGAAAAATTTTTCGTATGGTGGCAGTCGACGAGTGGTATATTTGGCCGACTGCACCCCAAAATTTCTGGCAGCAATTAGTTCACACAGAAAATGCGCCTTCTCATTTATAAACGTTCTCTGGTTAAAGTCCAGTAAATTGCTAAAAAATAAAAAAAATAGAAATTGTATTTACTGATTTAATAGTGTAAAGTAAAGTAAGGAAAATAATGCAAAAATAAAGAAGTAAATGCAAAATAATAAAAAGTAACTAAATGCAAAATAATAAAAAGTAATTAAATGCAAAATATATTTACAGTTTTCTTACTATGCTCAGAGGTTGATTTTCAGGAACTTCTTGTAACCCATTACCCTCTGTTTTGCCTTTCGGATCTTTAAGCGCCTATTTAAGTTACGAACACGGAAATGAATGCGGCATTTGAAAAATAGCCGCTTCGCGCTTTCGGGGAGTCCAACTTCCGTGCTTTTTTCCATCAACCGCCGGTGAATGTTTTGGCAATGGGATATTTCCAAAGCATTAAGATTATGGAAAATACGCTCCAATGCTTTCACGCCACTCAAAAATTGCGATGACGGTTTCTTGAGATACTCCTTCGACACTTGGTCCACCCAGGTGAACGAGCTTTCAGAGCTTGTGTGCTCCTCCAGACGAAGCTTTCTTAGCATTTAGCCCGAAATGTACTCTAAAGCATCCTCTTCGAGAAAACCGCAGTCATCGGGTTGAGAGGTATCAAGCGTGTCAATAACTTCCGGCTCCATTTCCCATTCTTCTGCAAATATACGCCTAAGCTCGTCGGTACTTATGCCATTACTGTCAGCTGAGTTCGACTGCGTCGGTGTTTCGCTAAAACTTTGCCATTGACTTTTGTCGTTTGACACGTTCCCTCTCCCTTGGAGGCACTCCATGTTGCGCGCTAAAATAAGATAAAGATAAGAAAAACATATCATATTTGAAGTATTCCTGGGGACTTGGGTGGTCATTCAGGCCCCCTTTGCTGCGGATGGCACCAAAAAAGTGCTCCAGGACATCCTGATTCAGGTTTTGGGTTAGTATATATTCCACATTTGATTTAGTTTTAACACTGTTATACAACTCAACTAAAGCTTTGTTAGTCATAAGTATTTCCTTCTGAAATACCTCCAACCCCCTTTTGTTTGGTATTATAGGCGAAGACATATATTCGTTCATACGCTCTAACACTACTAATTGGCTTGAAAGGGCCGTTCCAAATGGTTCCTTAAGTTTCAAAGCGAAATCAAAAGAGTTAAAATTTAAGCTTATAACAAATACCTTTCCCGGGTAACCGAATGTACCCATGTCCGAGTTTAACACGTCGAACTAGTCGTTGACGAGCTGAATAAAGTCAGCTGTCTCAACAGGTTTGTATAACTCCAACTCTAACGTATAGCAACGTCTAATAGCATTGGCAATTGTGTGAGAAAACAACTGCGATGCTAATTTTACTTTCTGACGCCCTTTAATTTATTTCAAGTTATAAGTGTTAAAGATGTCTAGAGTATTTACTTACCTATTCCCTTAACTGATAAGTGCTCATCAGTTAACCTAAATGCAATAGATACATCTGTTTTTGAGGTGTATTTAAGGAGATCAACAAGCGTCCTGCTTCTTAGTACCTCCCCTTTCCACAACAAACCTGATTCCAGAAAATGATTTCTTATCAATTTCAACAGGTGCGGTGCATCAGCGAACACGAAAACTCGTTCATTTTCTTCGTTAGGGTGAGCGAACCACGGCTTATCTGTAAAGATTATAAATTGTTGAATATTGTTTAACTCACAAAGATTCAGACAACATAACCGAAGTAAAGCAAATGGTGATCTTACCCATTGTCACGTCTAATTGTTTCCAAAGCTTTCGATTTGTAGGGCCCATATCGCAGACGACGGCCACCACTGGGAAACTTGCGGTTTTCAGTGCCAAAATTATCCTAAATAAGATTTCTTTGGTCATTTGACAATCGAAATCATAGAAAACCGGTTGCTTCCAAGATTTCCGTAAGCCACGCGCCGTTACTACTTGCACGTAATTTGCAGGTCTTCGGACATAGTCTCCTGCCTGATCATATTCGTAT